GAACCGAGAGCGGGCGTCAATCAGCAACCTTCCTATCCACGACGCTTGGCGTGTCGGGATAGTTTAGGACTCAAGTCGCCCGTGCAGCCGAAGCCGCAAGGGGACCGAGTCGAGATGCACTTGCGTGGGAGGTGTCAGTTGGGTGCATTAGGTGTGTGAGTGTTGGTTTCTGGTGGGGTGATGGTGGTGGTGGTGGTGGTGGTGGAGGAGGAGGTGGGCAGTGAGTGAATGTGTGGTGTGACCGGCGGTTGTCTAGCGCAGGTCGTCGTGGATGCGCATGTGGCCGAATAGGCCCATGCGATGCCTGAAAGTGCGAGGGCAGTTGAGACGAGCTTGGTGGGTATAGGTGGGTGCTCCAGACACTGGTTCGCCAGCCTCCGTGCGATAAATTCGCAAGTGACCGACCAGGCCGATGCGTGAGGTGAATGTGCGTGGACAGTGTGGGCATTAGAAGTCGGCGGTGTCAGCGTCAGTTACAGAGGAGGTGGTGGTGGTGGTGGCGCAGACGGATGGAGCGAGGATGGGGGTGCGCATGGTAGATGTGTTGGATGTGGTGGGTGTGTCGGAAGTGCGGTCAAAGCCGCTCTCGTGGATGTGCATGTGGCCGAAAAGGCCCATGCGATGCCTGAAGGTGCGAGGGCAGTGTGGGCAGTGGAGGCGAGTGCGGCGGGTTTAGGTTGGTGCGTCAGGCACTGGTTCGTCAGTCTCTGTGCGATGGATTCGCAAGCGACCGACCAGGCCGATGTTTGAGGTGAAGGTGCGGTCGCAGTGAGGGCAGGTGTAGTACTGATCCTCATCGCTGGAGTCGGGGGAGGTGGTGGTAGTGTCGGTTGCTGCGCGCGAGACAGTCGCCTGAGCGGCCGTCGTTGGAGCAGTGGGCAAGGAGGAGGAGGAGGAGGAGGAGGAGGAAGAGGAGGAGGAGGAGGAGGATGATGGAAGTGGTGGGTCAGAAGAATTGTCAGAGTTGGTTGGCGGCGGAGAGGACGAGGAAAAGGCGGGCGGGGGGACGCAGGTTGGCGCAGTTCGAGAGGCGCAGTTAATCCGAAGATGTCCAACAAGTCCGATTCTAGCCCGGAATGTCCGTTGACATCGAGGACACGTTGAAAGCGGTTGTGCTGTGGCGTTGCGTACTGGGCGAAGTTGTGATTTGCGGGCTTCGCGTTTCTCTCTGGCGGCAGCGAAGTGGTTGGCTTCGTAGATCGCAGCGCCTGTCTTCACTGTCCTCCTCCAGGTCGGTCGATCGAGTGCGAGCTCCTCCCAGTTGGTGGGGTTGATTTGCAGGCGTTTCAGGGAGGACTTTAGGGTATCCTTGTTACGGCGAATCTGGCCTTCTTGACGACGAGAACCCGTCGCGACGTCTCCGTAGAAGAGTCGTTTGGGTAGTCGCTCGTCGTCCATGCGCACCAGGTGGCCGCTCCAGCGCAACTGCATTTGCCTCAGTATGGCGTAGATTTTAAGGAATCCCGTCTGTTCCAGTACATCAGTGTCGGGGATTCGATCCTGCCAGTTCAGCCTCAGGATGCGACGGATACAACTGAGGTGGAAGTGTTTCAGACGGCGTGCCTGCTTTGCGTACACCGTCCAAGTCTCTGCTCCATACAGTAGTGTCTGCAGGATGACGGCCTTGTACATCTTCAGCTTGTGCTCAGCTGAAGACCGTGGCGATTCCAGACTGTGTTTTGGAGGCGACCGAAGGCTTGACTGGCTTTCGAGATCCTGTTGGCGACTTCGCCGTCGATCTTGGTGTTGCGGGAGAGAGTACTGCCCAGGTACGGGAAGTTCTCCACCACTTGCAGTTGGGTTCCGTTCACGCTGATTTGCGGCGGCGCGTTGGGGGCTGCGGCTGAGTTGGGTGGCAGTTGGTGCATCACCACCGTCTTCTGCGTGTTAATGACCAGACCGAAGTTCTCGCATGCGGCGGAGAACAGATGCATGATCTGTTGCATCTCCTCCTCCGAGGTGGTGTTCAGGGCGCAGTCGTCGGCGAAGAGGAGTTCGTGAACGGTGGTTGTGGATACGCGCGATTGGAAGTGCATCCGCCGTTGATTCAGAGGCTGTCCGTCCGTCCTGTAGGCGATGCGGATCCCGGGGCGTTCGTCGCAGTAGGCGTCCATCAGCATGGCAGAGAACATAAGACTGAAGAGGGTAGGCGCCAGCACGCATCCCTGCTTCACTCCGTTGGTCACTGCGAATGCCTCTGAGACAGCTCCGTTGTCCGTGACTCGCGCCATCATACCGTCGTGCAGCTGACGCACCATCTGAGTGAATCGCTCCGGACAGCCGAATTTCTTCCACAGTTCTTCACGATTCACCGTGTCGAAGGCTTTCATCAGGTCCACGAATGTAGAGTACAGGTGGGTCCGCATCTCCTGACACTTCTCCTGAAGTTGACGGGCGGCGAAGATCATATCCGTGGTCTTACGATGACGACGGAAGCCGCATTGGCTTTCTGGCAGAAGACCCTGTTCCAGATGGTTATTGAGGCGGTTGAGAAGAATGCGGGCGAAGATTTTCCCGGCGATGTTTAGCAGGGAGATGCCGCGGTGATTGTCGCAGACTTGGCGATTCCCTTTGCGCTTGTAGAGATGCACGATTGTTGCGTCTTTGAAATCTTGCGGGGCTTTACCTTGACGCCACATCTCTTGGAAGAGCGCATTCAGGTGATCCATCAGTTGGGGACCTCCGTGCTTGTAGACCTCAGCAGGGATTGCGTCCGATCCGGGTGCTTTCCCGCTGGAGAGCTGCTGCACGGCCGTGATGGTCTCCTGGAGAGATGGCGGGAGGTAGAGGTCCACGTTGGTCTCCACTTGCGGCAAAAGCTCGATGCTGGCGTCGGAGATGACGGAGGGGCGGTTGAGGACGCCTCGGAAATGCTCGGCCCATCGCTGTAGGATTTGCGTCTTCTCAGTCAGGAGAGTGCTATCGTCGGCGCTGAGGAGAGGATCAGTGCCCTTCGTCGGCGGACCGTAGACAGCTTTGATCGCAGAGAAGAAGTTTTTTCATTCGTTGCGGTCTGCGTACCCTTGGATCTCCTTAGCTTTGCGAGCAGTCCAGGCGTCCTGCATCTCGCGCAGTCGTTGCTGAAGGTGGTGGCGACTGCGGTAGAAGGCAGCTTTGGTGGCATCAGTGGGGTGATCTACGTAGGCTTTGTGTAGGCGGTTCTTCTCAGCAAGCAGATTTCTGATGGCGGCTTCGTTGTCGTCGAACCAGTCCTGGGGTTGGCGGGGAGCGCGACCGAGGATGGCAAGCGCTGTCGACTGGACCGTGTCTCGCAGTTAACACCAGCGGTTCTCCACGGAGGCGTTCTCGGCAGCGGCGGCGTCGGCAGCGATATGAAGGTTGTCTAGACTTTGAGCTAGCTCATTGCTGAAATGAAGATGGTGAGCGGGCAAAGACAACAAGGCAACATTCAGCTTACCTGGGGGTCGCTTATCTTGTGGTCTCCTACGAGGCTGTAGGCGAATACGCATCTTCGAGATGACGAGGCGATGGTCGGTCCACCCGTCAGCGCCCGTGATTGCCTTTGTCAACAGCACGTCCCGCTGGTCTCGCCTCCGGATGAGGACATGGTCCAGCAGATGCCACTGACGCGACCGAGGATGCCTCCAGGTGGCCTTCTCTCGCTCCGGCAGACAGAAGAACGTGTTCGTCAGGATGAGGCGGTGTTCTGCGCAGGTGCGTAGGAGCAGCAGACCATTGTCGTTTGTGCCGGGAAGAGCGTGGGGACCCAGCACGCCTCTCCAGGCAGTATGGTCTGTGCCGACGTGGGTGTTGAAGTCACCAAGGGCAATCAACTTGTCCGCCTTCGACACAGTCGCCAAGAGGGCGTGCAGGCACTTGTAGAATTTGTCTCTGACGGCGTCGGGGTTCGTCTTCATAGGAGCGTAGGCGCTGATGATTAACAGTCGGGATCAAATTCACACCTAGAATAAGCCTTCACGATCTGGCTCTCGTGGCAAAGACGATGTTTTTTTGCCAGTTGTAAAATTTCAACTTCACGACCACAAGGGTACAGGGAGAGTTTAGATGCTCATAAGTAAAGGTGTCCACTGTCGACCTTCTCGTCTCCCTATATATTTACCATGATGTAACAGTGGCGGGGCCCAGACGGCTGAGGAAGACATCGGACACGTTTGCTTGTCAAGCCTTTCAATCGTTCTTCAGTATACCACGCCCATACCCATGACAGTCGACCATCGCGAAATCACACCTTACACCAAGGTGACCTCTGTACAAGCATAATGAACGGGGTTTCCACAAAAACAAGAAACGAACGGCTCGGAGTCAGAGCGAGTGAGAGTGTCATAGAGGCCGCATTAATAAGGAGCCATTGCAGCCTGACTCTCGGTCCTAAAACGAGGACGGAGCTATCCCGTCAGTTGGCAGTCTTCCAAGCCACGGCTTCTAGAACCTCGTAATGTTTTAAAGGTGCGTCAAATTGCTTATAGTGAGAGACATACGCTTAAATTCCGCGGATGCGGATTCCGCATTCTTTTCTCCTTACCCCCATGGTCCCGACGTCAAGACAGAGTCAAGAAGACCGGAGGCAGGAGGGGTCGCAGGTGGCTGTCACGGCAAAAGTCCGCACCTAGGCGTACCATCACACCCCTGGCCCACAACCTACACTGACCAGGAGTTTTGGCAACAAAGAATTTGAAGGGATGGCTCGGATCTCGGTTGACGCGGCGTGAGTCTGCACAAGGGCGTGCCGCCACGCCCCAATGTTGGCGTTTATAGTGGATGGGCATCTCGATAACGCCGGTCTGACTCCGATCTGGACCCACTCCCCCTGTTACTCCAGCACATCTACCGCGTGGTCTGCTTTAGGGGCAAACGCATACACGCAAGGACTGGCCTATCCAGTCGAAACAAATTGGTCATGCCTTCTGCCACAAAGGTGGAGTCCCAGTTCTTGTCAGGCTATCTGGTGAGGTCAATTTTTATACGTGCATGCGAAACAACTGGCTATTTTTGCTACTTAAGTGCCACCATGTTACCTTAGAAGCAACCGTGTAGTAAGTGAGATCTTCACGGTTGCGAGTTCATCCAGTCAACGTTTCACAGGGCATGCGCGATACTGTTTCCTCAGAATTTTG